GAAGGGAAAGAGAAGAGGATAAAAGGCAGACGGGAAAGTGTGGATAAGAGGCAGACGGGAAAGAGAAGAGGATAAAAGGCAGACGGGAAAGAGAAGAGGATAAAAGGCAGACGGGAAAGAGAAGGATAAGAGGCAGACGGGAAAGAGAAGAGGATAAGAGGCAGACGGGAAAATGAGGAATGAGAAGAGGATAAGAGGCAGACCGGCCGAAAAGGCAGACGGCAAAAATGGTTCTGCAGGTGGATAAACAGAGGTCTGTGTCTCCAACTTATAAACTTGCTTTTGCTCACCCTTGACCTGCGACGCTTCTCTATTTGCGGCTTCAATTACGGTCTGAGGAAGAAGAGGAGGAGGAGAAGGGGGGAAGAGGAGGAGGAGAAGGGGGAAGGGAGGTTGGGGTGAAGAAAAAGGGGGAAGGAAGATGGAGAGGAGAGAGGAGGTAGAAGAGCAGGAGTAGGAGGAGGAAGAAGGGGAAGAGGAGCAAAAGGAAGAGGAGGGGGAAAAGGAGGAAGAGGAAGTACAGGAGGAGGAAGAAAGGGAAGAAAGAGAGGAAGGGGAAGATGAGGAGGAGTCCCACACGTTTCGAGCACCCCCCCCATCACCCCACCCCTCCACCTCAAGCGCATCCCGAGGCCAAGGTTCCAGGCGAGGCACGAGCCTCCAGCAGAAGAGAAAATAGCTGTCTGCGGCCAATCCGTCATCCAGGCAAGCCATAACAAAGGCGGACAATGGCGCGGGATGACCTCGAAAGCGCGAACGAGTGGCCGAAAGCGCTAAGTCGATGGACATCCGTCAGCGGATCGATCTCGCGGGAATGGACGCAAATTGATCGCATTGGGTTGGAATTGCTTTGCTTTCTTTTCGAAATGGACGTTACTTTTTTTTCTTTTCTTTTTTTTCTTCAATTTTTTAGTTATATTTTCTTTCTCTCTTATTTTTTCTGTCCATTCAGATTTCCCTTCTCCCTTTTCCTCTCCCTCTCTCCTCCCCTCCCAACTTTCTCTTTACCTCTAACCCCTTGCCTCTCCCTTTCCTTCTCCTTCTTCTCTCTTACCCCTCCTCTTCCTCTTCCTCTTTCCCTTTTCCTGTGCCATTCCCTTTCCCTATCCCTATCCCTCTCTTTCCCTCTCCCTTTCTCTTACATCTCATCTTCGTCTGGATAAGCCCGCGAAAAAAAAAATATGCCTGATCACCATACATGGCTCATAATCTCCCTTATGAGCGTGGGACTCTCACCCTTAAAGCCACGGAACTGTCCTTTACTGCCCTGTGTCGCGGAGACGCCCTTCTTTCTTAGCCTCCCAGCACTTAATGAAACTTTCTTTTCAATAACCCTCATGGGACGTGTTCCGATGTACGGCAGAAACATTGGGGCGCTGTTTGGCTTCTTAAGTTGGGGCGAGTTCGGGCGCAAGAAGAGGGAGAGGTGGAAACAGCTGGGGAAGAAGAGGAAGAGGCGGAAGCGACTGAGGAAGAAGAGGAAAAGGCGGAAATGGCTGGGGAAGAAGAGGAAGAGGCGGCAATGGCTGAGGAAGAAGAGGAAGAGGCGGAAATGGCTCTTTAAGCGACTGAGGAAGAAGAGGAAAGGCGGAAATGGCTGGGGAAGAAGAGAAGAGGCGGCAATGGCTGAGGAGAAGAGGAAGAGCGGCTGGGACAGAAGAAGAAGAGGCGGAAAAGGGAGAGAGGAAGAGGCGGAAATGGCTTTGGGAAGGAGAGGAAGAGGCGGAATGGTTGGGATAAAGGAAGAAGAGGAAGATAACGAAGAAGGAGCAGCGAAGAACAGGCAAGGGAGGATGAAGACTGGAGACTGTAGATAGGCAGCGAAGGAACAAGCAAGAGGAAAAAAGCTGAAGAATCGAATCAGAAAACGAGTAAGAATTTGAAATTGACACGAGACATCATTCGAAATCTTATCTGTCTTATCCGGTCTCCATTCCTTACATTTGTTATCGATTTCACCTTTCCTCATCATCATCATCATCATCATCATTTCTTAAACTCATTCTTATTCTTATCCTTATCCTTATCCCGCTCCACACTGACATCCACCTCACAAAGGCAAATCTCATGCAAGCACAATCTTATAACGAGAAACGAGGACTCTCACGACCAGCCTCCGAGCGCCCCTCCAGCGATGCCCGACGCGACCCCAACGAGCAGCGCGACAGGAGCGGAGACGCCGGCGGGAGGGGCGGCCCTCGACTGAGGAAGAAGAGGAAAAGGCGGAAATGGCTGGGGAAGAAGAGGAAGAGGCGGCAATGGCTGAGGAAGAAGAGGAAGAGGCGGAAATGGCTGGGACAGAAGAAGAAGAGGCGGAAACGGCTAGGGAAGAGAGGAAGAGGCGGAAATGGCTTGGGAAGAAGAGGAAGAGGAGGAAGAGGCGGAAACGGCTGGGAAGGAGAGGAAGAGGCGGAGATGGCTTGGGAATAAAAGGAAGAAGAGGAAGATAACGAAGAAGGAGCAGCGAAGAACAGGCAAGGGAGGATGAAGACTGGAGACTGTAAATATATATGAAGAACACGAAGAAAGGCAGCGAAGGAACAAGCAAGAGGAAAAAAGCTGAAGAATCGAATCAGAAAACGAGTAAGAATTTGAAATTGACACGATCATTCGATCTCTGTCCGATCTGTCTTATCTCCTTACATTTGTTATCGATTTCACCTTTCCTCATCATCATCATCATCATCATCATTTCTTAAACTCATTCTTATTCTTATCCTTATCCTTATCCCGCTCCACACTGACATCCACCTCACAAAGGCAAATCTCCGGCACCATGCAAGCACAATCTTATAACGAGAAACGAGGACTCTCACGACCAGCCTCCGAGCGCCCCTCCAGCGATGCCCCGACGCGACCCCCAACGAGCAGCGCGACAGGAGCGGAGACGCCGGCGACATCCTATCAATATCGACATCAACCTGACCCCCCCTCCTCCACACCCGAAGCCCCTCCTCTGCCCCCGGATCGCCCCCCCCCCCGTCGCGTCATTCGCCCGGGGGCATTAACTTGCGCAAAATACAAATGTGCAAAAAGGCCGAGACGAGCGTGTGGCACCATGAATCAGCCCGAGAGGCCTGCTTTACGACAGCTGGCGTCCGCACAACAATAACTCCCACAATAAAAGCTTGACGGTGAATTTTTCGAGGAGGAGGAAAACAAGAGGGCGGGAGCCGGGCTTGGGCCGCCTCCCCGCTTGTCTTGATCGCTTCTGTGGATATATGCAAGGACGCCCTCTATTTCTCCCTGTTACTGTCTGTCTGTCTGTCTGTCTGTCTGTCTGTCTGTCTCTGTCTGTCTGTCTGTCTGTCTGTCTGTCTGTCTGTCTGTCTCTCTCTCTCTCTCTCTCTCTCTCTCTCTCTCTCTCTCTCTCTCTCTCTCTCTCTCTCTCTCTCTCTCTCTCTCTCTCTCTCACACACACACACCACACACTCATACTCATACTCATACTCATACTCACACTCATACTCACACTCACACACTCCAACCCACTTTTAACTAATACATCCTAACCGTTAAAGCCACCAACAATCTTAACCCTACATCCACACAAACAGAGAAACAAGTACAAACACACAAACAAACACGCGCACAAAATGTACCCGGTTTTAAGAGCACCCCTGTACTCCGGCCAAAGATAAAACGCGTAATGTGGCCTCGCAAGACATATGACCCACGACCCAGGACTGCGTGACCTAGACGCGACCTCACTCCCTGTGACAGGAAGGTCATAAAGGCAACCGGTGCGGCAACTCATCCGACAAAGAATATTTGAATACACTAAACCGGTTTTAAGACGTTATGAATTGCAATTAAACTAAAAATATAAGAAAAACAATATGGGAATGATGATGATTGGATGATGATGGAATGATGATGATGATGATGATGATGATGATGATGATGATGATGATGATGATGATGATGATGATGATGATGATGATGATGATGATGATGATGATGATGATGATAATGATGATGATTGATGATGACTGATGATGACTGATGATGATGATGATGATGATATTAATAATGATTGATGATTTATCATCATCATTATCATAACAATAATCATTAATATAACAAAACAATAATAATTAAAAATAATAATAATAATAACAATAATAATAACAAATAATAACAATCAATTACAATTAAACAATAATAATAATAATGACGATGATGATTATGATGATAAAAATGACAATAATAAAAACATTTCAATATATAATGATGATGATGATGATGATGATGATGATGATGATGATGATGATGATGATGATGATGATGATGATGATGATGATGATGATGATGATGATGATGATGATGACAATAATGATACCACAAACAACAATAAAGAGGGAGGGAAATACAAAACAGTAATAACGGTAAAAAGCACCAATGAAAAATAAGCATTTCCGTTTCCATTCGGACGGAAAGCCTTTTATGGCGGGATAAGCTGCCCCATATTGACCTTATATCCATCACATTTGCGATAAAACGCCCCAGCCCCACGTAACAAATGCGTGTAAACAAACACACACACAAAAAGCATCATGGTGTGTGCTCCGGGTTCATTACTTTCCATCTGCGCCATAATTCACTTCAACGCCCGTGGAGGGAATACAATACCTATAAATATAACACTGGAAAAGCGGGGAAGCCAAACAAACGATTCAGGATGTTAGGCGTCAAAGCAAACGTTGAATTAATGTGTAGTTTTGGATAACGTTTTTTTTTTTTTTGTACTTTGCCTCTTCCGTAAACAAATATTACGTGACTTTTGCCAATAAAACTCTCTTGATCTTCGGTGTAATAAATATACCCTCACAGAAACACCCGGTTCCTTTTGTAGCGAAAATAAATTTCATACATTATACAATACACATGACTATACTCCACATAACAGCAAGACGGCACTGATTCGGCTCATCCAGGGCCTCGTCCGACGGAGAATCTAAATAAAAGAATTTCCACACAAAGGCACTGCGAGTACTCACCCTTCGTGGACGGATGGATGATGAGTTTCGTGGGCGGGCTGGGCGGCGGCGTGGGCGGCGGTGGGTGACAGGGCGCCGCTCTCGGATGGATACGCCGTCTCGCCCTCGGTGGTTATGGCTTGAGCTTGCTCCTCGCCGCCCTCCAGCGTGGCCGCGTCCTCCTCCGTTTCGTCAAAGACGTTCAAGGGGGAGTCTACTCGAGGCGGGGGGAGAGAGGGGGGAAGGGAGGCACAGTGCCACCCACAATGATAATTTGTGTAATCTACATGGCAATTACTGTACTGTTTATGCTTAAAAATATTTATAGTTACTACGCCCTTAACAGCTTATGAGAAGCAAAACAATTCGTGTTATTAACCACAATTACGTTATATGACAGAAAGACAAATGATGATGACGAGACAAACATTAAGGTCCTTGACATAGGCACAATCTAGACTTGAATATCATTTACTTATAATCAAACATAATCTTACGTTATCTGACTAACTGCAGTCGCATCACGTTGCAGTGCAATCTACCCTGTCGGTGCAAAGACAGAATGACCAAACAGGCAAAAGTATTAGAGCAAGAAAAAGACGCACAGATGAGCACCTACCGTGGACACTTTTGTGCGAGTAAAGAAAACAGCCAGAGCCACACACCACAAGAGGAAGCAGCCCGAAGTGCACGGTGTTACAGTTAGCCTCTTGACTCTGTTACAATATTGTTCGAGCTCCCTGGGAAGTAACTCAAACGGTCTTCGCCCCGCCCGTGTCCCCGGCGAACTCTTTCTCGAGCCTGTCCCTATGGATCGTCTATTCCGTCGCGCTCTCAACGAAAGGTCCCGCCTCTAGTCATGTCATGAATTGCATGAATGCCCATCCCGCCGAGGGAATCAAAGACCCCTCGCCTACGTCAGGTCACTACGAACGCCTCAAGCAACCTTATCGACTCATCTAAAATAATCACTGGCTTTCACTGTCTGAAAGATGTCGTCTCTTCTAGTTGTACTCTTTCATGTTTACATTTAAAGGCAAGCGACCCTCTATGCACACATTCAAACTCTAGGCAACAAGTCCTGTTGTTGCTATAATGTTTGATGTTTTCCCACAACTCCAAGGCCATTCATTTTGACTATGCCATCTGAATGTTTTCTCTCTCGTGGGTGAATAGAGTATCTTCAGAACAGTGTTCTTTTAGAATGTATTAATCATAAAGTAAGTAAAACAGCTGTTGCATCTGCTAGAATGTCTACACGATTCGTCATTTTTCCTCCTATCGCTATAACTTGTGTCTATTTCAAATTTCTTAAAAAAGTAAAGTGTACACTAAAACTATGGTCTACACCCACCTCAAATCAAAGTGTCAGAGTCGTTTTAACACAGGCTCTTCTCAAGACCTTTTTGATCGAGACCTTCTATCGGATCGCCCCGAAATGGCGGCTACTCTAGGACCGCATGAAGATTTGTCGGAGACACAAGGTCGTTATTTTTGGCAAAGCCTGATCTGATATGACCTGACATACTATGGACGCATGGACTTGCATCATTAGTATGTCATTTATATAGTCTAGTGGTTATATTTCGATACTATTTCATTTTACTATGTGCATACGCATACTCTGTATATCATCGATTACGTATGAGAATGAGAGATAGTATCTATGCCTGTCGCGTAGGGGCTCCAACCAAACATCGACAAAGGAGCATTAATGGGATCATTCATAGGCGACATTGATAGTAATTTCTAAGCACTAGCTAAGGCACTTTCCTGTCGTAGTCATTACCACAACTGTAATTCAATCTAGGAAACACTTCAGCCTAAACAACAAAATTTAACCTCACCTATTATAGTTATTGATAACTAAAATAACGAGTGACATAATCTTTTATGCAGCAATGTTAACACGGAACGACTTCATGTTTTCGACGACGAAAGGCCATCGAAGCCCCTGCGTAGTTCAAATCTATAGAGGAAATGTCGGTCCACCTGAGGGCGTAGGGCGGTTCCGATACTCCATCGGCGCATTGGATTGCCAAAGCGCCGAGTCAGGTCTCGAGAAAAGGCTCTTGAGTGCGACCCTTAATCCTATTATACCTGCTTTAGGCCTACTTAACTCGGCCTAGGCCTATGATACCTTGCAGAGGAGTTGCCGTGGGCGTGGGCGTGTAAGGTGAGTGGGGCGGTGAGAGGGCAGAAGAGGGCGACAGCAGAGGACGCTCGGGAGTGCAGTGGTCCAGAGGGTACCCGGGATCCAGTACTGTTACAGAGGGGAGAGGGGCAGGGCGAGGGTGGAAGGGAGCCAGAGTGTTAGTGACACCAGTGCCAAGCTGAAGGGAGGAGGGGATGTTAACAAGCAGACGCTCACACACCATCAAACCCAACACAATAAAACTCATCTATCCTGTGGCTGTGGTGTCGCAATTTGCAACGGTCTGTAACTTAACAAAACGGTATATGCTGACATAACCACTGAAGGAAATAAAGATACACGCAATCAAAATAGACCGCAAATCATCAAAATATGCTGAAAATGATTCAAAACCAGAAGCAGACTCTACCTGTGCGAACCACCTTCAACGAAGGTGGAGGAGGGCAGCGAGGGTTACGAGCGACGCGGACAACGGAACTCACGGGCTCCTCTTACGCGGGGTTCGGGCCGGAACTCCGGCGCGTAAACCGAACCCCAGAGTTAAAGAGTTGAAACCAGTTGAGTCGAGTTGTAAAGTGCGAGACCCCAGCCACATGTGTGAGCAGCGG